AATTTCAATTTTTTGAAAAATTCACTCATTTCCATATTTTTGGTAATTTATGCAAATAAAGTCATAAAAATCACATTTTTACCCATAAATCATATTTTATTCATATTTAAGCATTCTTTTTCACTACATATATTTATTAGACCATACTGAATAATAATACAACAAAAACATTTGGAAGAGCCAGCTTATTCCTTATGTTATCCCTTGTTTTGATAATTTCTTATGCCTTATTTCATTGTTTTTATAACTTATGTATTTCATTGTTTTTGTTGTTTTATTTCATTTCTTACTACAATTCAACTATTTTAACTCCCATAACAACCACCTAAACTTTAAACAAGACTCGATAAACCATGTTTGATCTGTTTTTAGGAAAAATGACTATTCCATATGTTTTGTACACAAATCACGAAAGTGAGCGATTATCGGGCTGACATGCAAAGACAAAAGGTCACGTGACCTTGTATCCGTAGGTCCGATTTTCAAAAAAATTCTTTTAAAAGTTGCGCAAGATTCGAAAGAAAAAAGTCAGCGAGCGGCGGGGCACCATCCATATGCGTTCCCGAGCAATCGAAAAAAATCGTGGAGGGGGGGGGGGTATAATGGCCCCCGGCCTTATTAGGGTTAAGCAATTTAAGTAAAAACGCGAAAATCTAAAAGTTTTATTCGAGAATACATGATATATAATTATGAAGGAGTTGACTAGTCCCTTTAATATCCTTCCCAAGTTATTGTAGAGGAATTTTGCCTTAAATATATTTCCACATTACTTTCACCATGTTCACGCTTGATAATGAACTGAAGGAAGGGGGTATGGATGGGCATTAACCGAGTAGGATCCATTAAAATGGTAGCCAAAATTTAAAAAAGGTTGAGTGGTACAACCGCAGAGTTGGCTAATGTAATAATGGTGCACAAAAGATTTGCATTTTATGGACACCATACCTTTCTAAAAATACCTCCAACTCTGAGAAAACAGATTTGATCACTTATTTTTCGTTACCAGGTCGGATAACCTGTCCTAATCCATGTTCTAAACTTGGCATCACTTAACATATATTCGGTAAACTATCGATAAACCTCAAATCCAGTGGTTTGGTAATGGTATGCCGATTGTACGAAACTTGCTCCTTCGACAATTGCTTCGGCGCAAATAATTGCTCCGAAAATTGCTACGCGGCTACAATAACGGAATTTGTTTCGGTTTAAAAAAACGAAAAATTAAGAACTAACCCCTATTGCAAAGATTTTTACCATAATCTATAATTGCAAATATGAGAATAAACAGTAAGTGAGAAGGCAAAACAGTATTTCATCAAATAAAAAAGAAAATCTTTCTATTTTTACTAATTTAAAACCAAACGCAAACGTTCAATAATAAGTTTTCTTATTTCACCTTTTCCTATTTTCCTTTACCTGTATGTTTAGTGCTAAATGCTTTTTAACTAAGTTTGTTGTGTATCTCATGTTTATTCTCATATTTCTTTATGTATTGGGGGCCCCATTAATCAAGCCTTGGATTTTAGGGGCACCCTGACCATTCATACTCTATCAATATAAATGGTTCAATAAAACGAATTTAATTTAATTGAATATTTTTTCGAAACAAAACTGTTATGCTTTATTTTGTTTCCTATCCGTTATCATGGTTATTGTCCGTTCAAAATTCCCCTAATCTATCGTCCGTTTCAGCACACCCATCTCCTTATATATATTCGCCTATACATCAATTTACAAACAAGTTCCTGTCTATCATGTAAATAAGAGAATTCAGAGCAGTTAATGTGGACTTTATAGAGTGACGGAAGTTTCGGTGCGGGGGAACACCGAGCCGCCAAGGGTGTGCCGCCGCCGTTGCGGGGTGTGCTGTCACTCCTTGTCTGATGAGTCAAACATCAAGATGAACGGGTATAAGTATCTAGTTTGTCAGACAACACATGTCTTAAGGTAAGTGTGCAGTTGCGGATCCAAGGGAGAGGGGGGGGGGGGGGGGGGGGGGGGGACCGGGGCACCCCTTCTCCTGGCATCAAAACAAAAGGGATAAAAGGCTTGTAACCACCCTTTGTTGTTGCTTGTCACATATTTTTTCCCAGAGATTCCTAGGTCCGCCAGTGGTGTGTGCGTGTGCGTGTGTGCGTGTATGTGTATGGGGAGGGGGTCAGCACTGATCTTCAGACTTCCCCCAGCTAAATCCATACCCTGAATGGAACTCATCGTATGAGGGATGCGTTTAGACTTTTAGACAGGCTGCGAAAAAAAGGTTCATGGTACACCTAAATAAAATATTTATAAACTTCTAAAGTGACGAAGATTAAGTAGTATCTCGTCAGACAACACCTGTCACTTGCAAGTTCGTGTGAGTGCAAGTGGGTGGGTTGGTGGGGGGGGGGGTGCTGGGGGTCAACGCTGACCTACAGACTTCCCCAAGCTCTATTTATAATACCAAGGTCCGATCTGTTTTATATATACGCGTTCGGTCGTTCAGATACACTATTAAGTGACACCTCCCTGATTATAGGTAACTTGAAAGTGTAGGTTGCAAATTTTTCATGCCGCCTTAGTTCTATTCCTTTGTAATTGGCCCTATCAGAAAGTGGAAAATGAAGGGGAAAATATGGGAGGAGGGGGAATAATAAGGAGAGCAAAGCAGGTAAATAGATAATCAGACATACAATGACAGATGGATAGATATATAGAGAATAAATAGATCGATAAATAGATAGTTAAATAGAGAGAGAGAGAGAGAGAGAGAGAGAGAACAGTTATGACATACGATTTATATCAAACAATTGATATTTCGTATCTCGATTGCAACTCAGGTAATCTGATTGTTTGAATTGAATACTTGGTGAAATATTGCTTTGACGAGACAACTTATATGCTAAAGATGAAAATATATAATTTATTTAATAACTAAGAATAATTGTGACCGACAGTTTCTTGACTACGTTTTAGCTTAATTGTTTTGCAGTAAAACGTTAATATTTGAAAATGCATTCTTCTATTACACCCTATATGACTACAACTTCTTTCGATCATTATGTTTATAACTTTTTCAGGGGCATCATCAATAAGGATCTTTCGGTTTAAAAGCTGTCTTTCCATTCATGCGATCTGTTCTATGAATAAAGAGTATAAATATGTTAACTTGAATTTAAACTTGAATTCGCATCTCTGTGACTGACCTATACGCCATTCTTTTTTCCTTTTACAATACCACCTGCAATATTCCATAATAAGACTTGAAATTGAAATAAGACTCGAAATAGATTCATTATACTTGTTCTTCTTATCAGATGTATGGACGGTGTTGTGAAAGTTTACTAGTTCAGCACGTGAATCCTGGATCAGCCCAAAATAGATGTTTAGAGAGTTATTTCTAGCACTTCTTGTCACCGCTGATATAGGAAATGTTCTCCATTTCACCCCGGATGATAAGATTTTGAATCTGAGCTCGCAGTGATGTGCCTACTAATAGATGTGGACAAAATAGGTGTATTGTTTCATCAGATAACGTCATCCGCAAAGAGAATGTATTGATAACTGTATAGTCAATAACAACATCTATTGCAATTGTTGGCCTTCTACCGTCATTATTCTCCGCCTAATGAGATTTTGTTTGTGGTAACTATATATGTACCTCGACGACTTGAATGAATTGTAACTCCGTTCCTTGATTAAAATGTTGCCTTTTGTCATACCGATAAACTGATCTATATATTGTTATTTGTACATTACTGGTAGAAAAAAATATATCAAAAATATTTTTTAATTAAATACTTATTCAAATATATATACCTTACCAAAAAATATGTAATTTTGATATACAAGTGAACCTATTTCATCCTTTTAACCTGAATTGACAAGCAAATTGGATAAGTAGTTAGCTTAACTGCACTTTATTTTTAAAATCGCCATTTAATCAGAAGTATACCTAAGAATTATGAATTTGATAAACACCAAGTCATGCAAATTGGGTAATGCACCACATTTTTGCACCAAGGTGAATGTAGCACAAAACATGAGTCAGGAACATCATTGTCTTGAGTCAGACAACAACTGTCATCAAATAATTACTCATGAAAGTATGGTAGCAAAATTCTAGAACAGAATACACACTTTAAAGGAATGACTCTATACGTAGAGTAATGTTCCAAATATTTTTACAGAATCCTAAATTGATACATGATATAATTTTGGCCGGAGTTTATAGGCCTAATGATAATTATAATGGTAATGGTGATAGTGCTGATGATCAGACGACAATGAGGATGGGGAGGAAGAGGATAATGATGTTGATGATGATGACGCCGACGACGGTGATAATGATAATGATGACGATGATGAGGAGGAGGAGGAGTAGGTGGAGGAGGAGGATAGTGATGTTTACATTTTTTAAATGTCTCTTCCAAAAAAAAAAAAAAAAAATATTGTTTATCAATTGAAATAAGATTTGTATTTGAAAGATAACAAAGGTAGTTGTTGATGTATAATGAAGAAAAATTACCAAAGTATTTTAAAGCTTTTTCGAGAATTTGATGTGCTTATGACATCAGCTTCACCTGGTAAAGTTGGTTTTCAAAATATGATAAATGCGAATAAATAATATTAATTGAGCATACACAATTTAAAGATGGAAGTAATCACAGTTGAATACAGTGGTACTAATCAAAATTCTGTAAAGAAATCATGGCTAATTAATAAGATGCAAGGTAGCATTGAGATGTTGGGTCGCCAAAACGAGTAAATTTACGTTTAATATATGCATTTGCCAATAAGAAGCTATAAGGCATCTCGAAAAAACATAAACATGTTTTTTGGGAAAGTGAATTTACCGCAATATGACAGAGAAATAATGATAAGCGTATGTATACAGGAGATGTATACATTATGATACAAAGATATACAACCTCAAAACGAGCTCTGTATAAGAACTAGTGATCAAGAAAATCGGTCAGATATGATAATGTACAGAGGAATCAAGTTGATCCTGAACTTACTTGTGGCTTGTAGAAGACCTTGGGGTTCTCGTGTTTCAGTCCAAACCAAGACTTTTTCACCGGAAACTTTTTGGCAGCGAAAATTTTAATGAAAGCCTCCATGATGACAGAACGATGTTAAAGTCCTTGACGATCAAAATAATGCTCCCTGATCAACCCGTTCTCATCTCGCAGACGCTCAAAGATAAAGCGTGTTCGAGTTTGAGATGATTTTGACAGACACTCCTTGAAAAGACCGCTTATGATGATCCACAGAGTTCCAAACAATCCTTCCGTTTGTGATCACTTAAGGTTACATTTAAGGCATAATTCATCCAGTATTAAGACGAGAACTGCCAGGGATAACGTCTTGTTGCTGTTGACGGTAGACTGAAGTGTAGAAATGGTGATGAATTAGATCAAATCTACGCCTTCTGACCTTCACTTCTTAAAGAGTGGATGCCGCAAACATCACTGTCTTGTTCGACAGAGAGTTTGACCTGAGTGTGTTGGGTTGTGGATGGATGCCGTTCATATCACGGGCAGAGGTGTGCACGCATCATGCTAATCCCCCTTGCTAATTCTTAAATCAATCCATCTGGACGGTACGAAGCACTGGGATTAAAGGTTCTTTTGTAATGCCGGTGCAATCGATGGGTTGACTCGGCAGGCCCTTAACACCCTAGGATTAAAGGCGCGAGGAAGGAATAAACGCGGGATGAATTTAGTGGACGGGGGCCTCGGGAATAAAACAGTAGCGTTGAGAGGAAGCAGTGGGTGCTCCTACTACCCTCGAAAGATTGCGGTTGGAAAGAAAATGAGCATCCTGGTAAACCACCATAACCCATTTATATCCAGCTATTCCCCCCTCTCTCGTGATATATACGGACATGTACCCCCTTACTTTCAGAGTTAACGTAGCCTCCTGGACAGGACGGCCACACGCGCTTATCGCATCTTGCATCAGTCAATCCGCATAATGACTCATGATATGACTATAGAACAACTGGCCGATGAGACTAAACGGAGATGATGGAAATGACTTTGAACAATATACCTGTTTCGTCCCCCAAACGTTTGTAGTTCTAACTTGTTCACTGGTGTTGGATGAATTCCATCTACACCAGGCCAGGCCAGGCTAGTTAGAGATTGATTCTAAATCCATTCAATTCTGAAAATAGCTCCTCTTAATCCCACCAATTATTACTGGATATGTACAAAGTGTCATTTCAAGCCAAGCTCCATCGTTTCAATTTAATTATGAGAACAGATTTTTATATAAAATGATCTAGATCTCAATGAACAATACGATTCCTCATCATTTCGATGGAGTAATACATACATAGTTCATCTTTTTTTTAAACGAATGTAAACGGCAATATATGAGTAAAGACAAATTGATGGTTGGATAACCTATTTGAATAGTGAAACGAATTTGCCTAATGAACAAATGTTTATAAATTGTATTTTCATTGTTTTATATTCTGTTCTAATTATATGTAATCACGGCCTCGCTGAAAAACAGTTTTTGCTGAATGCGGGCACAATTGTATTTTTGTTTTTAACCGTGAATAAATAAAATATACCATACCATACCATACCAAATCAATTGTGAAATGAGAAATACCTGTATAAGTGGCCAAGTACTGCATCATAAAGCATGATCAGATAATTATTGTCGAATGGTTTCTGACGCTGAATTAAAATTATCCAGTTATAAAAAATATATATATATGTTATAGTCGAAGGATATTGAAGTTGATTAATCAATAAATATTCAATTTATGTTGTCGGTAATTGAATTTAAAAGAGAGAGAGAGTGAGAGAGTGAGACACAGAAAGAGAGAGAGAGAGAGGGGGGTAGAGAGGAGGTGGGGAGAGATAGATTTATATATTGATTGATTTAATCATTTAAAATATGATTCTAGGAACAATAGAACGAATTACTCAACGAATTAGACTAGATATCAACAAGAATCGAAAATTAAGAAAAGAAAAAAAGGACAATACTTTACTGTCATAGGTCTAATTCGTGCAGCAGTTGTCATTAATTTTTTTTTGAAATGTTGGACATCTGCGATTATACATCCGGTTTTTATAATCGAATTTGTCAAAAGGATGATCCAAAATAGTAACAGATAAATATGTGGATATGTTATTTGTCAGCTGCATGTTTTGGGATGAGAAAATATTAGGGGATCACCCAGTTGAAATACATGCATGAAATCATTTATCGGCTTCCGTTTTCCAGGCTTCATGTTGTTTTGGGGCTATTGTTATGGGTTTATCTTTTCCATGAATAACAACAACTCATATCAATCACGTATTCTGTCCTTTCTCTTTCGTTTGTGCCACGTTTCTCTTTCTTTCTTTTTTTCTTACTTTCCTTAATCGAGTCAAGGATAATGTTAATAACCACGCGTTTGTCTATCTAGGGATATGTTTATGCTCAACTTTTTCTGGCCAGAATCAGGCATCTGTTACGTGTTTAGTTCAAAACACGGTTGCGTCCTTTTTCATTTTTGTAGAATCACCGAAAAACGGCGATCACGATCGCCTATCGTAAACTCACAAAAAGGTGCGTTTACGATCGGCGATGCTGCAAAATCGGCGATTCTGGAAAGCATAAACGCACAATCATTTGTAAACGCGTTTAAATGGGGTCAACGCACTGACCTCTAGTGGGTCTACGTAGCATGCGCAGTGCAGGTTTGCGAATCCAGCTGCAAGGCCACCCAGCCAGATTTGCCTGGAGGAGCCAGAGAAGTGAGCATAAACAGTACACCGTGGAACTGCGATTACGATGAGAGTTCACGATGAGCGTTTCAGATCGCTCATTCTACCTTCAAAATCAAGCATAAACGCACCCTAGGTGAGCGTCACCATCAAAACTGTTCTCCCTGAGGGCCCTGCAAGTATTATTAACCCAGCAGTTGCCAGGTGCCTATTTACACCTGGGTGGATGGTGACAAATGTAGATTAATGTCAAGTGTATGAATACACATACTACACCATTTCCACATCATATTGAAACATCATGACTAAATTTGAAATTCTATTATGGGCAAGTTCCTTACATTACCTAATAATTATGCTTGCATTGGTACTGTGAACAAACAAAAATTTGACCTAAAAATATGATTTTAGCTGATGGGCTTGTCTGATTCAAGCTCTCGTATGGCTATCGGCGTGATAAAGTCAACAGTGATACTGAAAGTTAAGAGGTCGTATGAGATTTTAAAAACATAGCCCGGAACTGCCCCAATTCAGATTTCATCTTGTCTACAAAATGTTAATAGTTTCGGCGAGTTTCACGTTAACCCCCCCCCCCCCCCCCCCCACTTCCCCCACTTTTCTCCATAAACAAATTATCTCTTTTTAAATGTGGAGACGGCAGAGGTTCTGGGTGCAGTTTGTCATAGAAGCTATTGTCTGTGCAGCTTTCTGCCCCCGTAAAATAATTTCCAGCTGGAATATGATAATATCATGATTATTTGAAGAAAAACATCATCATGACCGAAATATATTATCTTTCACCGGACCACCCGTCAATCAGTAGTCGCCATGCTGGACGATGGAGGCCATCGATGGCGGAAGACGTGGACTCGTCCGTGGTCACCGCGTATTTCCTCCCAACGGACCACCGACTCGTACCTAAAAATACCCTATCAACAAGGCTATCGGAACCACGGGCTCAAAGGGCGGTGAAATAGGAGAGACAAAAATAGAAACAACAACCTGTCTATAAACAAAAAACCTGTTTAAAATCTGTTGCTGTTACGAACTTGTTAGAATAACCAGTGTTTTGGGAGTTTCGTTGTGTAGCTTTGAGCCACGATGAAGCGCAAACTGAAATTACTTATCACGAATCGAAGAGAGGTAACAAAAAAAATGATATATCTTGACTGTTGCTTGTTAATTTTTTTTGTTTTGTTTAAAAGTGCCTTAATTTAGTTTATATATTAATGTGGAATGGAACCTGGGTTATATACTTCAAAGTTTCATAAAAGCATATAAATGATAATCTGTGCCAGCTGAATCTATTTAGAGTTGGCAATCCCAAACATTTGACACCATTATGAACTTCATGTTCCCCCTTTATCTTTACTTTGATATCGTTCTGCCCACCCGCGTCTCCCCCTCTTCTCTCTTTCTCTCTCTTGCTCTCTCTTTCTCTCTCTCTCTTGCTATCTCTCTCTTTCCATCTCATCCTCTCTTTCATTTTCTCACCCTTCTCTCTTTCTCTCTCTCTCATTCTCTCTCTCTCTCTCTCTCTCTCTCTCTCTCTCTCTCTCTCCCTCCTTTCCTCTCTACCCCTCTATCTTTATATATCGTTCTGCCCACCCGCGTCTCCCCCTCTAGTCTCTCTCTCTCTCTCTCTCTCTCCCTCTCTCTCTCTTGCTATCTCTCTCTCTCTCCATCTCATACTCTCTTTCATTTTCTCACCCCTTCTCTCTCTCTCTCTCTCTCTCTCTTTCTCTCTCTCTCCCCCTTTCTCTCTCCCCTCCTTTCCTGTCTTAACCACCATTTCTCTTTACAATGGCCAACAAAACATACTAAAACAGGAATATTGGGGGTAGACGCTCTCTATACAGAACAAAATAATGAAGTTCAGATTTCAAGAACAATAGTCCAAATTTCCTCTAGAAAGTGCTTTTGGTGCAGAAAGCTCGATTGGTGACACTGAGAATATTATGAGTCACCAACATGCTAAAAATAAATACAAGTCATGCTCTCCCAAATCAGATTACTCAACACAGGTACGAGTGCGAATGCTAAATCATTATGAAACAAATCTTCTTTTTTTTTGGTATCGTCTGCGGAATGATTCAAAGTAATAAGATGAATGGAATATGTTTCCAGCAATCTTGGTCTTAATAATGGTCAAACAAACATGATGAACATTAATGCAACATCATCAGATAATCCTTTGAGATAGATTTTTAAAGACGTTCATTGACTCTCTCTCTCTCTCTCTCTCTCTCTCTCTCTCTCTCTCTCTCTCTCTCTCTCTCTAATATGGTTCATATAGCTCCGAATTTAGCAACGCTGTTGGTGTTTTCAGTCATTCCCAAGATAAAAAGAAATGAAATAATTCATCATCGTCCACAAAAACTGGTCAAAAGGGAATTTGAATTTCAAACACATTTAACCCCAAAATACAGGAACCAAGAACGAATGAAGCGTGCATGGGAAGTGGACCAAAAATAAAATACTTTCCACGACTACAGTCAGTTACTTGTCCCCCTACTGATAATGACGACGCTGAAACCTACCCTGTCTAGGCTTTCATTTTTTTTTATTGTGTACATACTGTGCGCTTTCTAGATTGAATTTCTCTGATTCTTTAGATTTCACAAATTCGAAGAAATCAACTTAAAGGGATAGTTGAGCTTTTGTTTCGGACCACAAATGCCTTCAAAGTTCATGGTTATTGCTCTTATTTTAATTCATGACATTTCTATAGTGCTCTTTTAGTACCTGAAATTGCTATAAAGGTCATTTGAGACGCCAAAATGTGTGAAACTTAGCCAATACGATCATACCAATTCAGCTTCACTTTCCCCAAAATACGATGACCCTTAATTAATCAATTAATTAATAATAACAATACACGGGCCGGCTGGTTATGCGTATTACAACCAACGTGAAAAGCCATATCAGCATTGGCTGGAATAAAACGTATAAGGCGTTTTTTTTCAACGGTTGGTTCAAATTATCGAATATTTGTGGGACACCAAAAATATATTAGAAATCGTTATATTTATGGATATTTCAGCCGTCTCTGAACCGATTTTGATCAAACAAAGATGATTTTGTCATCTAGATTGTATATGTTCTTTCAAATATCGACCCCCCCCCCTAGTTTTTCATTATCTCACGCAAAAAAATATTTAGTGTAACGCCCTCTGCAACAAAACTCAACTATCCTTTTAAACCAACAATATGCATGATATATGCAACGTCTTCCATTGCCTGTTAGACAATTCCTGTTGCCAATTAGTTGCAACCGAGCACTGGCAATACTATAATTAAACTTTCCCTTATAGAGGGAGAGGAAAACACAGAAGTCAAATCAAGATGTACTAATTGGATTTGGGTTTTTCTCTGATGGGGGTGTTAATTGGTTGCAACCCAATTGGTGATCCTCTGGCTTCCGACGTGGTGGGCTGTCAAAATGGGGGAAATTGATTTATTGCTTGGGTGGTGTTAAAATGGCGTTAAATCTTTAGCAATTGGTGTATAATGCGGTGAGTGATCATTTACAGACCTGCACTGACTTACATCATACTAATTATAGAGGAGTTATGTAGTTCCTTCATATATTTTTATATATAGGTTGTAAAACACTTACTTCATTTCATTTCATTTATGTTTATTTACAAACATATAAGCTGAAACATTATAACATGTTGACATGTGCAGGGCATGATTGACAATCAGTTTAAACAAACTAACAATAAAGAATTAAACGACATGATTTGGATCATAAAGAACTAACAATTACGTAAGATTTTCTATAATGCACGAGAAATTGCATACTTCGATTTTTTTTTTTAAATTACCAAATACTGTACATATTAAACAAACAAAAATTTAAAAAGTTAAGACATGCTCCATAATGACTGCATGAAGACTGGAAAAAATAACAAAGGCAAACAAACTAGACACGACCAGGTACCGTAATTAGGTCCGTGGGCACCTGAAACATATACCGCACTCATACCAACGAGACCGATTCGAGGCCGATTACAGATCGACCCGAAATGAATTTGCTTTCAATGACCGAGAACCGGTCGGCTTGGCTGTTTGACTGGGGTATATTACATGCGAGAGAAAAGTGGAGGTGGAGAGGGGGCGGGGTTCCCGAGTTCTGGAAAATAGTCATGTTTTATACCACGGTGTCATTGTTTTGTGCTGTAGTGAGGCACCCTTTTAACCGGGGGTGGGGGGGGGGGGTGGGGGGGAGGACTTGCACACTTTACCCCTCGGATCCGCCACTAATCATGTGTCTCACTGTCATAATACTACCAACGGTCCTCCATACAACATTACAATGTGTCTGGTTATCGCAGTGTACAGTATACGATCTCGTCTTAAATGAAACCAGGAAGTACCTGCCACCATCAATATCCGATTCGGGGAATAAACCAGCCACAGTTACTTTCTTTATAGCTCCTCCAGGAACCAGGGATCGTGCTGGCTCTAGCGAGGGGAAATATATTTTGATCATCATTATTCTCGAATGCTCGAAGTATCAATTCAAGTATGAGACCGCAAATCTTTGATTTTAAATAGTTCTGGGAAAGTCCTTGAGGGATTTTGTTATTTTGGTTTTCCATGAATCACTAAGTTTCGAAATTCAAATCTATTTGTGTCTCATTGATATTATTGTTAAAATAAACAAAATAATACAACAGTACAGTCAATTTAAGTCAATTCTGGACCCCTCAGTGGAACAGCGCCACCATGTTGGCTGATGCTGGTTATAGGGCCATCTAGTCGTTTATCTCATATAGTATGTGTACATATTGTGTTTCGATTATTGAACTTCTCTTATACGGAAATAAATTAAAATCGAATCAAATAAAGAAGGAGGCGTAAACCCGAAAAGCAAATGCTTGTGTTGGAAACGGTAAAGTAGAGCCTGAGCTTAATTTCACATCAATTGTTTCCTTTCATCTCATAGTTGGTATGATTTAAAGCTCTGCTAGAACTATAAAGTAAATTCAGTAATCATAACGTATTGAAATCTTTGATGTGGTCTCTCTTGGGCTCTGTGTCAGACGTTTGGGGCAAAATAGCTTCGATATTCCCTGTTACATATTATACCAATAGCTACTACTCGTCTAAGTTTGAACATTTGATAGATTGATGGTGACCATTATAGAAACCTTTTCTGAAATTTCAGTCATTTCCCCGTAAATGCTAAAATATGAATAATGCCTATTCTGTAATCAGTGCCCCACCCCCTATTAATTACCCCATCGTTCCATCACTGGTAGCACAGATCAAAACAGTATTTGGGCGTAATAGCACTGACACAAAGTGCCAAAAGGTGTCGTTGATAAAAAAAAAAAAGGCACTGGATTAATGCTCAATATAATTAGGCATCAGCAATAATATTACATAGATAATGACAAATTCACTTTTAGTTTGTCAAAGCCAATAGTCAACCAATAGACCTAGTCTTCAGATCCAACTCTACACTTGGTCACAACATGGCGTATATATTCTTTTAGTTTTGGGCTTGCCCAACAAAGCATTGTTGACCATAGTGTGCCCAACTCGAACTAAGTTGGCCAAACTCTCCTCATCAATGGCTCTGCTAGTCGTTATTGTATATAGCGCCCCCTGATGTGACAAAAGGTGATTTTTTTTGTTGTTGGGAATATTGGGAAATAACTAAGCAGATTTGAAAAGCCGTGAAACCAAAAATTAGTCTCGAGTTAGAGACATACAATATTTCAACATTTAAAATGTACCCTTCATTGGAAAAAACAACAACTATACAGTACAGCATAGATCAATTTACTACAGACTGATAAAAATCTCTTTCATATACAAATTTGGCATACATAATTATCATCGCCCAAAATAAGATATTAACTTATCGAAATTAGGAATTTTCTTTGTAATACCGAATAAAAATATATGTACACTAAACGAAAAACAATTTAAACTTTAATATATGAAAGAATAGAAACGTGTTTGTGTGTGCGCGCGTGTATGTGTGTGTAGGTGAGTGAGAGTGAGTGAGAGGGAGAGAGATAGAGGGAGAGAGATAGAGGGAGAAAGATAGATAGATAGAGAGAGAGAGAGGGGGGGGGAGTGAGTGGGATGTATTGAAAAAAGAGGATTAGAGAGGAAAAGTAACAGATGAAGACGGAAAACAGATGAAAAGTGGGGGATGGAGGGATAGATACAGAGAGGAAAGTGAGAGAGAGAGAGAGAGAAAGAAAGAGAGAAAGAGAGAGAGAGGGGGAGAGAGAGAGAGAGAAAGAGAGAGAGAGGGAGAGAGAGAGAGATAGTGGAGGATGTATGATTTCAGGGCCCCCGTCTTCTAAAGAGTTGCGATTGATCCAAATTAATCATAAGTTCTCCGATCAATAGCAAATTTGCAGTCTCCTATCTCTCATGTACAAAGTTGTGATTGACATCAATTTTTTTAAGACGGGGACCAGAAGTATACACATATAATAATTATATTGCATTATAGTTTGATATAACCCAATAGATAAGCTACAAATCACAGTTTGGAAGAAAACAAATTGTTAACATCAGTCAATGCCAAACGAGATAGCACGTTAATTTTTGTTATCCATCAATAAAAAAAGATAATGACACGCTACAATAGTCATAATCAAACCCAATATTTCAGGCAACGGCCAATGTTATCGCTATGTATCAGAGGCTTGAAATGGGCTGGTAGCTTTTAGGAGAGCTTCCAACTCTTTGTTCCGTTTCTCCAATGCTTGGATGTAGGCAGCTTTAGATTCGTTCTCTCGCTTGAGAATCCAATTCGTCTTGTGGGCTTCCATGTCCCTGTCTTTCCCCTTATCGGTATCCCCCGCCAAAATGTCCTGTATAGTGGGATAGTGATAATGATAAAAAGGCAGTATGGTAATAATAATAAAAATATTGTTTTTACTTCATAACGTTGTCGTTAATTTCTTCATTTGGGTTGGTATAATCATAGCAATATTCTAACAATGAAATTCAGCGGAATAAACTTTCCGAGAACTTACGATTTTCTCCGAAACGACCCTCTCAACCGGCACGATCTCCTCCATCGCGATCCCGGAAAGTCCCGAGTAGGTTGACGAAGTCCTCTTCTTGGCCGGGACGTATCTACCAGTCTTACTGGTCCGTTTGGTCTCGTCATCTTGGAGTGAATCTGTCTGAGGCAAATCTTCTCGCGTTTCGACATGAGGATTGGAACTCCTGCTAATAAATTTAGAAGGCGTGGAATGATTTCCCGTTTTTTCTTCTTTTTTTCTCGCTAAGGAATTAAAATAGGCCAACAATTTTAAAAAATTGAGACAAAATAACATTTAGTATGTATAGTAAGATATAGGGGGAATTAGCGATTCAAACGAGAGAATGTGCATATATTGGGTGCGGGGAAACCTGAATCCGGTAACTGGGGTTAGAGACATCGCCTCTGAGGACACCAAGAATATTTACGTTCAAGACGAAATAAGTTCCATCCATATCTGATTTTTCATATATTTTCCTTAAGGTGGCCCCCTCCTCTTTATCGACACTCCAGCCTAGTAAATAAAAATAATGCTTTCCAATCAAATTCACGAAAGTCTGTCAAGAAAATGAATACAAATTATTCGAAACTTGTGTCACATATTCGACATTCATACCTGATTTCAGAATGACTATCGGCTCGGTTGCGGTTTTTCTCGTCATCCGTTCCAGTGACGTCACAATCGGGCTCCTCCGAGTGCAGTCTCTCAAGTTTTTGCCTTGCTTTATCCTCCATCATGCTCTAAAATCGGACACAAATATTATTTCGAGCGCCATAAAAATAATAATATTTGGTTAATGCAGATATAATATTATTTTGTTTGTTGATTCTGTGTAAGTGTGTATTTTTGTGTGTCAGAACGTCCTCGTGTGTGTGCAAGAGCGCGTGTGTGGGGGGGGGGGGGGAGGGTAGTGAGCACTATTTTTTCCTCGAAAATTTAAAAATTGCTCCCCCCCCCCCTCACCTTGAGCACCAGTTCCTGTATCCGCATATCGACAATACCACATACACATAACACTAACATGATATTGAAATTAGGGCAGAAGACGAGTAAGAATTGTGAATGATTTTATGCATTTATATCAAATTTAAACCAAAAAAAATACATATTTTGTTATTCATTAAACATTTTTGGGTAGGTCGCAAAGGGCAATACAACATTTTTGTTTCGCCTTAGGAGGGCCTACTCACCTTTACAGACGGATAGTCTTTAAGCACACCCAGAACGTCATCTTTAGAGAGGGAGAAAAGCTCAGAGAACCCAACAGAATATACATTAGCCGTTCTCCTGTCAACGGAAATAGGGAAATGACAGTATGTTATGATGTAAAATAGCAGGCATAACAATCATGTGTGTATTCCTATATAATTAAACAGAAATTGAATATGAAATAGTAAACAAATATTTCTGTCGCCGAGGAATCCATATTTACACTAGTGACTAGTGGCTTGAAATATTGCTTTATATATTTGTTTTATATTTTTCAAACCAACCTTCATAACCAAATAAAAAAATAACAATAATGTATACTGTCACTGAAGTAGTGTAGAGTTCAATGAGAGCAGCGCAGACGGCCCTACTGCGGCCGGGCCGAGACCGATATCACATTGATCGGTAACATCATTTTAAAGATAAAATTAAAAGAAGTACAATGATGTTAGACTATCAGCAGCGTGGGCTCAAAATGATGAATTTTAGGTTGTTTGTAAAAGCACAAAGAATAATGTGGATAAAAAGGCTTGTAACAGGAACTCATGATATCAAATGGAAACAATACTTTAAATATTTAATGACACCGATAGGAGGTAATTTAATATTTTATTGCAATTATTGGAGAGATACAGTGAAACTTATGTTACCTTCCTTTTATCAGAATCTTCTGAAAGCATGGATAGATATGAAAGAATATGTTAAAACAGAAGAGAGATACAAAGGGAATGAAATATTGTATAATAATAATTTTATTAAACTAGAAGGTCAAACCTTATTTGAGGAAACTTTGTTTTTAAAAAATATATATCGACTTTATCACATTTGTGAAGAAAATGGAGAATTGAAACCTGAAGCTCATTTTATAATGTTAGGTTTGAGCAGAGTGGAAATTGATAAAGTAAACAAAATTTATAAAGTAGCCCCTTATGAATGGAAAAAAAATGTTCAACCTTTAAGAAAGTCAATTCACTATTAGTTTAGAATTTATTTTTTCAAAGAAAGTGTTTACATTTGAAGATTTAACTGCAAAAATGGTATATAAGAGTCAAATTAAAAAGAATGTAGAAACAAACTCGGCAGGCGGCAATTTAATGACACTTTACAATATTCCAAGAAAAGAAGTAGAAAAGATATATGTTCAGCCAAGGATGTGTACCTTAAGTAGTAAACTGCGAGAATTTCGGTTCAAACTATTGCATAATATTTTATATACAAATCATCATTTACATAGATTCAGGTTACATGAAAATGGTTTGTGCTCATTTTGCAAAAATTTTGAAGAAACTTATCAACATGTATTCTTTGAATGTAATACAATAAAGGAAGTCTGGGGGAAATGTGGAGATAGACTTAATTTACCAATTCTGAAGAAATTATCCTGGAAAGAAATTCATATAGGAATAGATGACACTACTTTTAAAACAGAGCAATTATTGAACCACATTTTGATTTTGATTAAATATATGATTTTCCACAGTAGAGAGAAGGGAAACCCTCCAAAAGCAAAAGAAATAGAATATAGATTGTTGGAAAATAGAAATGAAGAGAAAAAACTTTCAATGGAAAGAGACACACTTTCAATTCATTTAAGGAAATGGGAAGCTTTGGAAAGTTTAGAATAAACGTTTTCAGTTTTTTTTTCTCAATATACAACTTCCTGACCCTCCTCTCTTCTCTCTTTTTTTCTTTTTTTTTTTCTTCCCCCCCCCCCTTTTCTTTTGTTTGTTTGTTCTTTCTATGTTGGTGTGTGTTTTGTATACTGTTGTACTTGTTATGTGTTTAAATTTTGTGTGGGCCGGGGGATAGTAGGTGTTTTGTAGCTTTTTTCTCTTTTATATATATATATATATATATATAATTTTTGTTTTTGTCTCTAAAGGAAAATGAAGAGGTGTAACTTTTGTATGTAAAAGATCATTGGCAAATTTATAAAGACCTATGTTAAATTATTTTGTTATTTTGTATACAATGTTATAAATGTACAATTTTTCTTTGAGAGACATGAATAAAAACCTATGAAAAAAAATAAAAATAGCAATGTTATGTTTGGTCACATGATGCTATGTTGACCAATCACTGAACAGGATCTTATTCATCAAAAAACATAATTAAATTCATTTCTTACTGAACAAGATCAAGGCATCCAATTATAAATCTACTTGAAATGAAAAATAATGCAAATCAGATGTAGATTTAAAAAATATTGTTGAGGTGATGACAAGAAATCGTCCCTCACAGTTAAACTGTATGGTCTCCCTAAGAATAAGATTCGCAAGCTCCAAACCCTACAAAATGCAGCAGCTAGAATTATCTCAAGAGCCCCACGCAGACACGATACTTCACACCTTCTTCATGATCTTCACTGGCTCCCAATCGAAAAGAGAATAATCTTCAAATTCTGCTTATCATTTTCAAAGCCCAGAACGACATGAGTCCTGCCTACATCTCAGATATGATTTCCCCTTATGTTCCTGCACGCACACTCAGATCTTCAGCCCAGCACCTCCTGCAAGTTCCTCGTCACTCTACCCATTTCTACGGCAACAGGGCTTTTGAAGTGGCTGCCCCAACCCTCTGGAATTCGCTCCCTCTGCATGTCCGTCAAGCTCCCACACGACAGACTTTCAAAACCCTTCTTAAAACTTACCTGTTTCGTTTGTAATTTTTGACATTACATTTCATCTATGTATTATAATTGAATATGATATTCTAATTGATTTGTCATAAGTATTTACTATCTGTATTAACTTTGCTCGCAATGAATTATCTTAGCTACATGTCTTTAGTTTAGGGTCTTTATATTTCGTTCTTAATTTGTAACTATTTAAATATACTTGTACTTGCTTGTTTTTTACTTTGCAAAGCGCATAGAGAAACTTCGGTTTATTATGCGCTAAATAAATCTATCTTTATTATTATTATTATTAAACATCAACAGAAACGGGACAGATATTAACAATGATTGCTTTAAACAACTACTGGCTCATGAGTTTAAAAGCCAAGATAAATAGTATTGAAAGCATTTACTTTTCGTTGCTTACCCTGATGGTCAAATTGGGGAGCTGCATTTAATATAGGATTTCTCGGTCACTTTCGTAAGCTTTTCATTCGTTTTGATACAAAGGTCATTCAAATTCGCGACATAAAGCTGCCGGCGTGTAAATTTCACTTTTTTCATTTGATTTACTTATTCGGTCAATGGATTTAGCACTTGTTTCATTCAATTTAACAACCGCTTACAAATGCGCAGTTTGCATTCATTTTCGTCAACAATGGCAAATTGGACGTCCGTACCATTCAATTTCACTTTGGGTCATTCTAAATAACAAAGTTTTCATTCATATTCGCCTATCTTTACAAACCTATGGTATACATGGTATATGCACATGTTTCTCATCTAGATTAAACAAATGAGTTATATAACATGCCTAGGTGTCTTGCCCGTCAACATGTAGAGGATTAAACAACAGTTACTGTAGATATAAGATTGGACATCATCTTACTGATGTTCTCATCACTGACTTTATCGTACTCGGTCGTCTTTTGGAAGTGATATTACGAAGACGAACATGATAATGTCATGCATGATGTAATTATGATCATTAAAATATATATAACCAAAACAAGATATCAGATTGTATACGTGTATTTTTTAGTTTATGTCCACATGACATGAGTTATTGAGATGTGCGCACAGTGAGAAAACAATGTATCAAACTCATTAATGATTGTGTAGCGTGATCGTGATTGTAATTGAGATGGTGATTACGATTGTGACTGAGATGGTAAATGTGACTGTGATCACGATCGTGATTGTGATTCAGTGTGATGGTGATTCAGATTTTGATGTGATTATGATTGTGATTGAACTTATACTCATTGATTGTTCTTAACATGTTCAATACAGACTAAATATAATTTACACAAATATAAATGGCTTCAAAGAGATTACGAACATCGAATAAATTATCAAAAACAAAACAAAACAAAACATTTAAAATAAATCAATGTATAGAGTATTGATACCCTCTCCCCCACCATTACGGTACGCCACTCCAATAAATACAACCGTAGTTTGTAAACACACACTTTGCATGCACTTATATCATTGCATATTCATAAAAAGACACTCTTGCTTAGTTCCATGCTAATTCTATATTGATGTGGCTAGGTTTTATCTACTTAACACATGATCGTTCAGTTCCTAAATAGTGATGATTTAGTGGGTATACATATACATGTACACCCATAGTGAGGACAAATAACATGTTTGTTGCTTACCAAATCATACAATTTGAGATGGATTTAGCATGGAACTAAGCTTGCGGGGTTCTATTTTACTGGGTAAGATTTACATGTTTAATTTGTCTGCAAAACGTGTGAAACTGTATGCAAAGAAACGAATTTGAATTCACGGAAGACGCTATTACGTAACCGCGAATCGTCTCGCTTTAAATTGAATGAAAATTTTACGAAAAAGAAACACGTTTTAATTCGAATGAAAATGAAACGTTTTTGAACGATCGTTTTAGGAAATGAAATGCTAAAAAACGAATTTGAACGAAAAATAACAGCTGCGGTGACAAAATCGGCGAAATTGAATGAACATAAAATGAATTTGTGTGGCCAACTTACGAAAGTGACCGAGAAATCCTATAGTATCTCAAAATAATTCTTGCCTCGAATCTATTTTTAAAATAAACAGTATATAAAGCAATGCCAACGGCTCAAATAAAAATACTGGTATTAAAAGCCCTAATTTCATGTTTACCAGAGCCATCTATATACAGAGTTTGGTCAACTTGTTTCCCTGGGTCACAAAATGGTGTATACTGTGTCCAACTCGAACCGAGTTGGCCAAACTCTGTGTGTAGATGACTCTGTTTACCTGTTACTACTGCCTTCAACGTTGAGTATGCCGATCTCTCCAAAATAGTCACCTGACTTCAGAGTGCTGACCACCTTACCAGAGTCACTGCATACGATGATACAACAAAAGGTGAATGCTAGATAAACAGTGGCATGTCCATAATAGGATGGATAAGTGTAACATAGCCCCTCTCCAAAGAAAGACGAGATAAAAACAAATCAGGAAAAAAGGTGCAGTGGGTTTGAAATATTCTACGGGGCTCATTTTTGGCAAACCAGTTGCATTCCGCCCCTCCCTTCCCCATCCAGGAATATATGACCCCTTCCCCTCCTCTTATGCAAATGAAATGGTATCGTACATCATGTCATACTCATTCTATTGCATAATATACGATAGTTGAATGTAAATTAATCTAGCATTTTAGTAACAACATTATTGACAAGGAAGTGAACCTTCCAGGTAATTCTATTAATACTGTACTATGAGTCATAAATTATTTTCCGAAGAGGATGAGACTCTTCCTGATCAAAACCTTATCTTTCAAAACATTTTACATTACATTTTCGAGCAGAGTTATTAGCAACTGCACGTCACTTTCGTGCGCCGATTTATGTGTATCCTAATTTTCTTATAAACCATTTCCCAAATTAATCTCCTAATCGCTATCTATCGTCAAATTGGCAATAGTTGTTGCCAATTTAGCAATAGATAATGCCATCGAATACTCACTCGGTGACTTTGAAAGATCCATGGGATACTATGAACATCTCCTTGGCAACAGCATTCTTCTTACAAACCAGGTCGTCAGGGGTGAAGATACAAAGATGCATCTTCAGGACCAGATCGTGAAGGAACTCGGGAGGACAGAACTTCAAAATCGAAACCTAATGAAGTATATGATGAAAACAAAATATGGTTAAGCATCAATTTCTATGAGTAAGAAACAAACCTGTACTTGAGAAAAGCACAAGAAAGTTATGACCGTATGATCTTTAAAGCCTCTTTGCACTAGTTTAGCCAGGAGGGATTAGACCTCCTTGCGTGGTCACTGACAGGTGGTTATCTCATCAAATCAGCTCTCAATTAACATAAGAAAAGGAGACCATGGGGGACCAACGGGTACCGCTTAGGCATTGTTTGCTATATAGAGGGCGCAAGTAGCTACAAGTATAGTGCATTTATAGTGAGTCAGACCATTTTTGTTCCTTTTGTAGACTAGAAGTAGAGACATACCAACATTTATTTTTAGATCGTCTTAAAGTTAAAAGATTATGGCAGGAGGTAATTCAAAAGTTACATTTAATCGAAATTGACATTGATGATTGGAAACCCATATTTATGGGAATATCCGGCAATACTGCTAGAATATTTGTAATAAATTGTATCATATTTTTAGTAAAGTATATCATTTTTATTTCTAGAAAAGAAGGAACATTGCCATCTGTACAGTAAACAGTACATATGCTTAAAAATTACAGAGACGAGGAATACAAAATAGCCTTCAAAAAGGGGAAACTGGGGATGCACTTACAGAAATGGGAACAAATCGATGCATTTTTACTTTAATGGATGTGGGTATTATTATTATTAGTAGTATTATTAATTCTCTCTCGTGTACAGGTGGACAAACCGGAACAGGTTGCATGCAGCGTGTGTGTCGGCGTGAAGGGGGTGTGAGATGGGTGGGCTAGGGGGGGGGGGAGGGGGTGAAGAGTTTGTGTGGTGTGAGTTGAGGGAACAGGTTGCATGCAGTGTGTGTTTTTGTTTGTATGGTTGTGTGTGTGAAAGGGGGTGTGGTGTGGGTGGGCTAGAGGGGGGGGGGGGGGGTGTGAGAGTGTTGAGATAGGATAGTAATATGTAACTTTAAACCTTCCTCTACTGTTATTTTGATTATACACTGTTACATGCAAGACTTTTTTTTTCTCCTTTTTTTTTCTCTATGTTCATTGATTGATGTAACTTATGAAATGTCTTGTATCAAATATCTTGTTTTATATTGCTTATCTTGATAATTTCTTGTTATGTGAATTTCTTGTTATGTGAAATTATGAGGAAGGAAATAAAATATCATTTAAAACAAAAAAATCTACACTTAAAACCTTCCTCTACTGTTATTTTGATTATACACTGTTACATGCAAGAATTTTTTTTCTTTTTTTTTCTATGTTCATTGATTGATGTAACTCATGAAGTGTCTTGTATCAAAGATCTTGTTTTATATTGCTTAATTTGATAATTTCTTGTTATGTGAATTTCTTGTTATGTGAAATTATGAGGAAGGAAATAAAATATCATTTAAAACAAAATTCCCGTTTTAAGTAATGGTTAATTTTAGAAAACATGCAGGATTCAATGAAAAAGAAGACGAAGAGTGAGCAGGCAATAAATTATGGTCACTAACTACTGATAGGGATTATTGCTATGCATTTGGTCACTTAAGCAGGTTTCACTGAACATAAAAGCAGACAAGGAAGCCTGCACGTATAGAAAGAAAGTCTACTGAAAAAAATGACGTTACTGTATTCAACCGGTTTAAAAATAGAATATGTAATTTGTTGCTTTGAGACCCGGAACCGGAAATCAAATGGGATAAAAAGAACGGGGAAATGGGGTGTTTTTTGTTGATTGACCTCTGTAGACAGGTTTGGATATATTTTTTGACTGACGTACCTTCTTTAATGTTTTAAGATTGACATGAAGAGCGAGTTCCGTACGGTGTGTGTCAGGAAGCAGTCCCAATGAATTGATGTCACACTGTCCACGCGTAGCCCCACTTCAGACAAAAATTGGAATAATAACATGTGAGTTGCGAAGGCGAGAAATGGAAATGGAGGGGGTGGATTCCTCCTCTTTTATTTATTTATTATTTATTTTTAAATTTCATTTCCCATTAATGGCGCATGAATAAGGATGCTTCATGTACGGCATTCATGCAACTGCTTTACCAAGTAGTTATATATCACAACTTGAAAATCATGCGGACCTATAATATTATAACCATAATGAAAGTCATAAATTATAATAAAGTATGTGTGGCGCTTAATAGTATTGTTTCTAAGTGCTTATAAACCAGCTCATTATAACGGACGTAGAATAAACGATCTACACTCTACTGGGGAGCTTTTCAGTCAGTCGCATTGTACAGGCGCACACATAATTATTCGAACTCATAACACCTTTGCATCCTCCAGGGCAACCATTTATATAAATGGGTGGGAAGAAGTATATGTAGATAAATGCCCTGCTCATAAAGACATATGTACAGTGCAGTAATCGAACCCATGACACTCGCATTTCCAGTTCAGTGATTAAACCAGATGACTTCGGAACCTCTGTACTGTTATTTTGACGTTAATGATGATGATGATGATAATGATAATAATAATGATAATAATAATATTCATAATAATAAAAATAATAATAGTAATAATAATACTGATAATAATAGAATAATAATAATAGTACTACTACTACTACTACTACTACTACTAATAATAATAATAATAATGATAATAATATCAATAATAATAACAAAACAAACATTAATAATAATAATAACAACAACTACAATAATAATAATAATAACAATAACAATAATAGTAATGATAACAATATGCCTTGTTAACCCAAGGTAGCCTCATCAGTATCAAAACCGTTCTTTCTAAGGGACCTAAATACATGTTATTACCCCGGATTGACTATTTCCTTACTACCTATCTTTCCTGAATAGACTTACCGTGCCCAGGTGTAATCATACCACCTAAGTATCCGTAATTGGACATCTCTCGGAACGTTGTTTCTTCTCATGTACCGCTTAGCATTATCCTGATAAGGTTCAATTAGAATTATGATAGTTAGGCTATGTAACAATTATTTTCGATTCAAGACCTGCCTAGTCACCATCGAAAACATATATTGACGTCTTGCAAGAGAGATGTCCCTTTACAGGAGACTGTTTGAATGGTCATTTGTTTTTCTTTCGTGGGAGGGGGCGGGGGGGGGGGTTCCACCAATAAAATGAAGAGGAGTGTATATTGAAAGAATGCATTGCCACACCTAACACAAATAGTTATTGCAAAAACACAGAATAACTTGAAGACATGAAGAATATACATCATAGAAAATAATTAAAGGGCAGCAAAGGCTACAAGATAATGAGAATAATCATGAATAGTAAAGGGATAAGAACAAAGAATCTACTAAATAAACAAATGAATATAAAATGGAATCTATGATTTCTGCTTGGCGTTCATATCACGGAAGTAAAGTGATAGGTACATATAATACTTTTATGAAACAAACAAAAAGATAAAACAATTTTATGCTTACTACTTGGCGTTCAAAGTCCATCCGCGTCGCGTTACGGTTCCCTATGATATCCCCGACTTGCCCTATTTATCGACATTCAATTGAAAGGGGGGTAAGGAACAAACAAAAAATGTGCCTTTTCTACATGTATATTAGAAAGGAAATCTTTCTGAAAAGACATGAGGAACTTATTAAAAACGATTTGTTAAGTTTTGCATTTAAACTTTGTTCAGAGATACTGTATAGGCCTATTCTATTTTACGCTAGAAGTATATTCTGGTATAGCACGAGGGCAACCAGTCATCTTCGTCAAAGTTGATATTACCAGACATTCCAACTATTATCTCCAATATAAGTCTAAGTTTAAACTCACCGCCCCCTCCAGAACTGATTATCGAAAAATGAGTATCATATTCATTCAATCAGCAAGCTATACATTATTTGATCACGAATAATTTCATCAGTTATTTTGTGAACGATTAATTACGCTTTCATCGTCGATCTTTATTTTTCGACGTAGTCAGTAATAGAAAAAATATTGAACTTTGCGTCTCATGTATGCTATCGAAATTCCAAGAAAACTTTTGGTCGAGGTGGCTTCTTGGTAGCTAGATTTTGAAAGGGAAGACTGTTGCTTCTGTACAGTAATATATAACCATTAATCCCTAGACATCCGAATAAACAAGAAAATATAGGCTGAAATCTTACCAACAACTGTGGCAAAGATGAAAATGCCCATCAGATATCCAATGATTTGAACGACATATCTTGATGAAAAGAACGGTAGCGACAATCAATGTGATTCAGTATATTGAATATCACGAGAAAAACCTTTTGTAAATTGACAATTTACAAAAAATGTGTTATCAGCCATTTCATACAGACGCAAGCAAAAGTTCATACACAAAAACCCTAACTCTAGCGACAACGTTGTCAAATTATATTCATTGAGAAGAAAAAAAATAGAATATTGTAAATCTCAATCTTTGAAATTCAGGTATTGTAAAATACTCATATTAGGCAAATTCCAGAACAACATGGCAAAGGAATGATTGAAAAGGCTATTTGCTCAAGATTCATGCAGGGGCTCCATGGAGGGTCTTTCAAATATGATTATAGTAAAATGTACTCACTCATCTTAAAGCCCCACTGTACTAGCTACCTGCTCCCTCTATATAGAAAACAATGCCTAATCGGTGACCATTGGTCCCCCATGATCCTCATTTTTTTAATGTTTTTTGAGAGCTGAGTTAATGAGATAGCCATCTGTTAGTGACCACCCTGGGTGGTCTAATCCCCCTTGCCAAACTAGTACAGACTGCATTTAAAGTCGAAGGAATGGCATGTACATAGGAATAGTTGGCTTTCGGCATAATATATAGTACAGAACGCAATGGGCTCAGAGAGGTTGCCAACGTACGTTATGCCTACCTTCCCCTCTATACCTCCATTTTCTGAGAGGAATCCCCCCCCCCCCCCCTGTTTGGTATGTATTTTGAATACATAATAGTGAAAGTCCGGATGGGTCTATAAACTTGGATTTTGTACTCACTCGATCTCGGTGTGGGGAGTAGGAAGATCACCAATCGTGGTCAATGTCAATGTCGACCAGTAAAAGGAAACAAGATATTTGAGAGCTAAAGTGGTGTTTGTCTCGGCATGGTCCAAAAACAAATCTGGAGCGAATCTATGACCAATAGCTTCGCATAGGACATAGTAAGCCGCCGCGGTCCAATGGAGACCCAGGAGCAAAATGTGGGTTAAGTAGAGAACTCGGAAGAGATTTGGGAGATGGGTCCTAGTCTCGACTTTAATGTACCAGGAGTAGAACCTATAGACCCGAAGGAACCTTGGACATCTCACGATCGGGTGCAGGCGGCTGGTATTAAGGAGGTAGAAGAGATCGGTGGGGAGGAGGGAGAGGAGATCGACTCTGCACTGCCATGATCTTAGGTAATGTCTTAAGAGTTTCTTGCCGTCAAGGACAAGGAGACCCTCCTCCAAGTAGGCCGTGCGGGCCTGGACCACAATGTCCAAAATGTAGATGAAGTCACAGAAGTAGTCAATAACGAACCAGCCCACATGGCTTTTCTCTTGGAGCTCTGGCCAGGCCTCGCGAGCGATCACCACCCAGAGGTTATACACCACGGCGATGCTGACCACTGCCAACCAGTAGAGGAGGAAGTCGCCGTCAGGAACGACGACCGCCATCACTTCGTCCTCTTCCTCCTCCTCCTCTTCCTTGTCTTCTTCAATGACTACGGATGCGTCATGCTTCTTCAAGTGGTGATTTAATTTCAACTTCTTCCGCCTTGTGGTGAATCTCTGCAGAAAGGAGTCCACCATTGTTGTCTGTCCATCATCGCTTTGTTTTCGATTCATCTTCTTCTTTATCCTCGCAGCGGCAATCGGCGACAACACACACCGAGATTGACTCAACGGTGGTTCCATTGACATGGTGACGACCGTTCCTATCACGAAAAACAACTATGCTGATAAGTGGTAAAAGGAAAAACATGGGCGCCCTGTAGGCTTATGAACTCCAACAAGTTCTGTTAGACGTTTTTTTGCATGAGTAGTCTGTATGTTTTCTCCCTAAGGATATGAATGTTTTCAGTAAACGAATCGCTTCCTGCACAACCAACAATTAAATGTTCCTGATGATTGTAAATGACCACCAGCAGTTGCATAGGCCTAACCATTAAACCAATCACACTGTATCAATGTAGACAGCATTCAAGTCTAATCCCCTGCACTTGGAGATGTAGGCCTAAAAAAATTATTCTTTCTCTCTGCTACAGACTTGTTTGGTTGGTTGGTTACCGCAAAATCCATATACGACGAACTCACGATGAACGAGCAATTAAATACAGAAGAAGAGCCACCAAAGCATACAAATCACAATGAACGAGTAACGTACAGAAGAAGAGCCCGCAACGTATATGAGTGATACGAGTACATTAACAAAAATTAATGTTGCAATTAGACGAGTAAAATATGCACGCTAGACTCTTATCTCATAAAATCGCTGTGTCCATTGCGATATGATTCTGTAATACAACACTGCCTGCTACTACAGTAGGCCTAATATTATGACGATTTATCGACTAGCCAAAGACTACCATTGCTTCTAATAGTTTTTGCGGGTTTAACGCACTTGCAAAATACATTTTTAAACTTGAAGGTCATATTTCATGAATGAGGTTATTTTCGCTTCATACGCCATTTACAGGAAACCATTCAGCGGAACAAACACTATTATGAAAATCCCCTGAAATCCATTAAAAATGACAATAGTTTCAGTTTCGCATAGGGAAACGTGTGCATAACAATAGCATTGCCTCATTCTCTACCGTATTTAATATTTCATGCCTCTGTGTTTTATTTTTATGCTAGATTGAACATATTTGGTAACAGCTTCAAAATGAAAGTAATATAACATATCATGATCACATCTTCTTTGACGAGGAAGTAAAAATTGGACAAGATCTGCGCATCCAATTTCAATGTCATTAAAGGGAAAGTCCACCCCCAAAATAAGTTTGTTTCGATAGAGGCAGAATAATAAGAAAATCAGGTGAATGAAAGTTTGAGCAAATTCTGAATGAAAATAGAAAGTTATGAATTATTGAAGTTGTGATCAATCAAATACAAATTGGCAACTCTGTGACTTATTATACGAGCTCTCCTTCATTTGCTTTGTGCATAATATTCCATAAAATCATGTTTTCTTCGTTATTGATGACGGAATATATATTTGTTCCTTGCAGGGGGAGTATAGAAACATATTTGCAATTATTATATTTAGGGTGCATGTATGGTTGAAATTTTTCTTGAGGGAAAATGAAAATTTTAGATTTTTTTAGTACTGAGCAAATGGAAGTTGAGCTCGCATGATCCGTCATAGAGTTGCCAATTTGTGTTTGATTGATCACAACTTCAAAAATCCTAACTTCCTTATTTTCAATCGGAATTTGCTCAAACTTTCACTGACTTGTTTCTCTCATTTTTCTACTCCTATTAAAACTAACTTAATTTCAGGGTGGACTTTCCCTTTAATAGTTCACCATTACATGTAGAAGTCATTGTGTGTACGTGTTTTCACATAGGTCGTCGATCATGGGTGCATGGGGAGAGGGGGGGGGGGGCAAATGCACGCCAATAATAATGTCCTTCACTGTGTATTCTCTATAATAAGTCTACTGTACATCTGACCAGTGATCTTGCCGTCGCCCGCCTCCCCCATCAGGTATAGTTCATGTCCCTGATGTCCCCCATCAGGGACATGAACTATACCTGCCTTTATTTTCACCAAGGGTGGCAATTTCAGGTGCACGGGGGGGGGGGGGGTGCAACCCAGTTAGTATGTCCTACACTGTATGTCCTCCATATAGTTTACCGTATATCTTGACAATGGGCTTACCGCACCACCCATTTTCTGAACCAGCCCTCCTGTTCTGCCTCAGAAAGGGTTTGTATATCTTTGAGAGGGTCCTAACCAATCCAGAGGGCGTATGATCATGATGCCAAGCAAACGTGGAATGTTAAGAGACATAATTATAGCCACTATACCGAGCTCCCGGTGGAAGAGGAGGGGGGGGGGGCTAACAGTAGTAGATATCGATCCAACTCAAGATGCCATAACCACCATTAACATCATTATCTTCGTCATCGTTTTCATCAGCGTCATCATCACTATCACCGCCATCGTCTTTCTCATCTACACATTCTTTCTCCAGAGGGCGGAGCACCAAGTAGCTCAGGGGTTTAGGAATTAAATTACGATCAGATGAGCACCAGGGGCCCGCCTTAGGGGCCTTGGTGGGGTCCAGGGGCAGAGCCCCCCGAAGCTCAGGGGTTTTAGGAATTTAATTACCGTCGGATTAGCATCAAGGGGCCCGTCTACGGGCCTTGATGGGGGTCAAGGGGAGTAGAGCCCCGGAAACTCAGATGTTTTAGGCATGTTATTACGGCCAGGTGAGCATTCAGGGGCCTGCTTTAAGGCCTTTGGTGGGGTCCAGGGGGCGGAGCCCCCGGAAGGTCAGGTACAAATCGTGCCATTTCAGCAACATTTGTAAATAACTGGTATCGAATTAGAAACAAACCACGTTTGAATTTTATTTTATTATTTTATAACTGCCCCAACCCCCCCCCCCCCCCCATCAGTACGCCACGATGATCCTCATTCACATCCGCATCTTTAAATTTGTTTTGATCATCATGATGTAGATTTGATTTATACTTTATTTTTTCAAAACACAAACATAATTTAAAACTATTAAACAGACGCAATGTTCAAATACATTTCATTGTAGTTCTTTTAATTCACTGAATTGTTAGTAACAATTATGCTTTAGAACCATTGAGTGAATGAAGCATACATATTTGCATGGTGATTACTCTCGACCTAAAGTTATATTATTTAAATTGGGCATTTTTCATCAATGATAAAGTAGGATAGCATTATGATCATCAACAATTTGTCCCATATCACATGAAGATAAACAAGTTGTCAATTTCTCTCAAATTTTCAATATTGTGAGGAACAAGCAAAATAAGTTTTTTTTCAATTGTTTGTCATATTGTAATTTTTCATGTATCCAATGTAAAAATGAATTGTAAAAATAATACAGAACAAAATATTAAATGTAAAGCATCGATAGTACTTCAAATAGTTTTTATTGCATAACGGGTTCTCTAAAAAGTGAGACAGTACCGAATCAATGAGTAAATGTGAACATATTACGAATAAAACTCTCTGATCTTTATTCCAATATGTTTTGAAATCCCGAGTTTAATTATATAAGTGGCCTTTCTGTTTTTAAATGATATTGGTTTGGCGTAAACGAATTAATAACAGAATTAGGATGAGACCATTTTCATGCAATATTGTGTAAACATCAAAAGCATTCTGACATTGATAAAATGAATCCATCAATGATATTAAAACCATCATATGAATGTTGAATCTAAATCATATTCTGTAATCTATTTTCCTCATAATAAGTCAGATTGTTTTGTTGATTTAAAAACAATGACCATGCACAAAATAAGCCTAAGGTGATGGAAAGATTGTAAACAATGATAATTAACACATTACTTCTTAGAAGATGGATAGACTGTATTAACGGTGAATAGATCGTATTAAGGAAGACGGTAGAGAAATTAAATTGATTATAAACTTGCTACAGACAGGACGAGTAGGAAAGCGGTAACGAGGAGACCGCTCCCCCTCCCCCATTGAAGGGACTCACGGGATAATGATGATGATGATGATGATGATGATGATGATGATGATGATGATGACGATGGTGATGATGATGATGGTGGTGATAATGATGACGATGACGATGATGATGATGATGATGGTGATGATGATGACGATAACGATGATGATGATGGATGATGACAATGATGAGGATGATGATGATGAGGATGGTGATGGTGATGATGATGATTATGAGGATGATGATGGTGGTGATAATGATGATGATGATGATGATGATGGTGATGATGATGATGACGATGGAGATGATGATGGTGATGATGAGGGTGATGATGATGATGATGATGACGATGATGATGATGAGTGGTGATAATTGTGATGAAGATGATGGTGATGATGATGATGACGACGATAACGATGATGATGATGGATGATGACAATGATGAGGATGATGATGGTGATGATGATGATGAGGATGGTGATGGTGAGGATGATGATTACGATGATGGTGATGATGATATTGATGATGATGATGATGATGATGACTTTATAGGACGATGATAGAAATTGTATGATAGAACTATTGCCTTTATTGTTTTCAACTGATCTGACGACTGTATACGACACAAAATTGTAATATAAAAAAGCACTAGTCACACATATACTCACACATCCACACGCGCATACACCACACAACCACATTTCTAACATACAAAGATTTTTGTTCAAGTTAGCACTAGCTTAAAATTGTAAAATTGAAATGTTAAAATACAATCATTACATGGCCTGATAACTACAGGACAAAGTCACGCGCCAAGAATTTTCACATTATTATACGGCTGACTTGAATATCATAAAATATTAAATGGACGGCAATATAAACTCTGACATACAGCCATTCTTCTCTCAAAATTAGTAAAGGCACGATCAAAAAATACTGTTTTCGTCACTGGTTGATGAAAGGGAAAATTTCACAAAATCAAATTGAATTGACATTATATGTAGGGAACGACATAATTACATGAATTGTTATCCCCAAAGAAGATTTCAGAGAAAAGCCTATTTATTTAGAATTAAGTAAAGAAAGAAAAGGGCATCGCAATATAAACGGGAAAACATTTTCTTCAGTATCACAAGTGTGACGTGTGTGCGCTTTTTAAAGTTTGAAAAGTATGTGCGGTTATCAGCAAAGGATTTAATTATTATACAATTTTCTTTTTCCATAACCTCAAAAGAAACGAGGATTGATAATGGGAATAATATTTAGAACTACAGTTTTCCCCGAAATACAGTCTTAAAACTAAAACCAAAGATTACAGGTAATATAGTGGGTCTATTTTTTGTTTTCTTGACCAGTACCAGAGTTGGCCCAGGGGGAAACAATGGGGGTCACTCGGGAGCCCCCTCCCCACCATTTAATATCTAGAAAAGTAACAATTATTTTTTAAGGAGAAGAAGTGAGGACAGGGAGACATGAAGAGAGGATGACACGATCCTATCCCACACAATAACACTACCCAAAGGCCTTCTTAACCTACATGATAATAATAATACTAATTATGATAATGATAATGATCACAAGAATAATAATAACAACAACAATAATAACATTAATAATAATAATAATAATAATGGTATCGGGTTCTTGTATAGCGCTTATGGCTGTCAGATTTGACACTTATGGCGCTCCGCAATTATTACATCGGCTTTATTTTGAATATCATAATGGCGCTTTAGTATTTCAAGGAATTATTTCCTGCCAGGTGCCCATGGTCTATCGACAGAGCAAGACCGGTCCCCCTCCCTATCATGCCGGCGCCCCCTCAATGTTTGGATCCAGGCTACGCCACTGCAGCTGGTAGGTCTACAGTCACTATCATCTTGTCATCACTAAATCCTCTAATTCTTTGATTCGTTTCTCCAGTGTTTGGATATTTGCTTCCTTCAATTCGTTCTCCCGTTGGAGTGTTCTCATCTTCTCTTCCATATCTTTGGTTGCTTCTTGCACCTATATGACATTAAGACAAAACATATGCCTTGAAATTAGATTTTAAACATTGAATTTATCCAGTATCTTACTAAACACTCAGTAAAACAATTGAAAGGACTTTTGAAAAGTCAAGTTAAGTAGGGCGATTTCAGTTCTCTATCATAGACCTATTGCCTGTAGAAATAAGGAATATGATTGGCATGTTCATAAATTTCAAATTAATACTACAACTATATCTGGAAAATAAATTTATCTTATAGGAGTATTATTCGAAATAACTTTTAAATTCATTTCTCTGGAATCTAGCATTATCTGGGGACTCAAGAAAATGCTACACCAGAGGGTCTATCAAACGTTTCACACAGAGGCGTCATGTTCCAATTAATTGAGGTGTCGTAGTCGAGTGGTTTAAACACTTGACTGGATATGTTAGAGATCTAAAGAGCCTCTGAGATAACCACTCAGTGGTTACCTGAGTAGGGATTCGCTGTATACATGGTATAAGGATGGTACATACTGCAGTTTAAGTATGTTTACCAGATGAAGAGACCGACTCCTTAACTACTAAAGCAGAAGTGCTCCAAGGAGATACGTTAGCACCATACCTATTCATCATAACATTCGATTATGCTATGAGAATGGCTACTGATGGTTTGAGGATAGGCTTTACCCTAGAGGAAAGGAAAAGTAGCGGATATCCTGCTGTAATGATCAAAGACATCGACTCTGCTGATGATATTACACTCATTTCAGACAATCTGAAAAAAGTACAGAGGCTTCTAGAACAAGAAAAGTCTGCAGCAAGGCAATTCGGTTTACAAATAAACAGCACCAAGACAAAATTCATGATGTACAACCATCTTCAAGGCGAGATTTGTACTGCTCACAGGACAACGTCGAAGCAGGTCAAGACTTTCAGTACCTTGGCTCATGGGTTCATCAGTCAGGAAACACACGTGATTATCTGAAAAGCAGAAGCCTTTGGAGCTTTGAACAAGCTGTCAACCTCAAATTCCCATTCCTAGGGTTTCATAGTGGAAACTGTGCTGTTATATGGATCAGAAGCCTGAACGATGATGAATAACGTTGACACAAAACTGGATAGATGATTTACAAGACTTTTGAGAGCAGCATTGAAAGTCAGCTGGAGGGACAAAATGACAAATGCAGAATTGTATAGAGATTAGAGATATTACACCAATCACAGTCAGACTGAGAGAAGGTCGCCTTCCTTTTTGTGGTCATTGCTGCAGGAGCGAGAGCGAAATCATTTCACAAAATAATGCTTAAGGACAAGAAGACGAGAAGAAAAGTTTGTTGCAACTCGGACTAAAGTCGACTTATTTAACACGGGAAGACGAGATGATGAATTTTTGGAACTCGGCAAGTCGACTATAAACCTAAAAGGAGAGTTCTTAGTCCAAGATTATAATATCCTTACCGGTACTTCTAATTCTATGATTCGTTTCTCTAGTGCTAGAATATTTGCGTCTTTGGATTCGTTCTCTTGTTGGAGCGTTGTAAGTCTCTCTCGCATATCATTGTTTCCTTCCTCCATCATCCCTACCACTTCACCGAAAGAGTCCTGTGGAATTGAAATACGAAAAAGACATTTTAATATTGTATCTATTAATAATATTAAGAACAATAGTGTGTTGTAAAACGACCTTGACTGTCAAACTTAACACTCCTGGCGCTCCACTGTTATTAGCATGGCTGGCATTATTTCGCTCCTGCATTTTAAGGAATTCATTCCTGCTAGGTTTCCATTCAGCTCACCTTTGTCGACTATGAGAAATGTGGCTGAACGTCTTGCCAAAGAATATAAGTTTTATAGGATTCGAACCCCGCACCCTGTGGTTCACAGTCTGGCGACGTATCCAGGCCACTAGTCTTCATTCTACCATCCCTTTTCCCTTTTTAAAAATATTTTTGCCACCGACTGGTAGTTACGCCGCTTGTAAGTAGAAGTCGATGATGAAAGGTATCTTCAGAACCAGCAGCCAGAGCCAGTAATTATTATTTGTTAATTCTTTCAAAGCTAGCCTTATAACACACTTATTCCAAACAGATTTCGATTACTTTGAGTTTAATTATGAATTTATCTTACCACATTGTGCTTATTTTGCCTGATTTACTCTGTAATATATTTGTTCTTGTACTCACCATAATTCGTATTTCCTTATTTTTGTATTGCCTATAACCTTTATCTCATAAATTTACAATCCATTTGGGCATGTTGCGTGATGGAGATGGCTTGTTATTATACTCATGGCCAGTAATATCATATATAGACTATTTTACTTACGATTTTTTCCGAAACGGCTTTTTTAATTGATGCTAGCATTTCTTTCATCGCGACCGCATGAGGTCCCGAGTAAGTTGATGATGTCCTATTCTTGACATGGGCAACGGGCACGATGGGGCCATTACTCGCCACGCTGGCCCGATGCTGCTCGGTCATCGTGATGCTCTGTCCAACGTCCTGCGATTCTTCGTCTTGCTTTATCGTAGTTCCCATTGACGAGTCAGACGAACTAAAAAATGAGTTCATGCAAATAATGTAAAGATAGTCATCACAGCGTATATTTTTATGATTTTGTGCACCTATTTCCTGAATAAGACTTTGAAGAAAATATGATTGTGAATGACGCCAAACAAAAGACGCTGGAATTATCTTAACCCAAAGGCAAGAGGCTGTGAGTTTCTTGTCAGTATCAGGTTCTTAACTGGCGTGAATTCAAAATCGTAACGATCTATTGGAGAAGCGGGTGTAAATGGGTGTAAATGGCAATATTATTTTTGGGTAATAATTATTGCAAGGTCGTATTTTGCCCAGGGAAGCCTCGTCTGTATCAAAGCTGTTTTCTCCTGAAAGCACCGCAATTGTTATTTTTGCCCCAGCAATTGCCAGGTACCCATTTACTCCTAGGTTGAGGGTGACACACGCCGGATTAATGTCTTGCTAAATACATTAGTACCAGGCTGGGATTTGAACCCACAACCCTTGGATCGAGAGTCAAGTGAATGATACACGATGCCACGACCATCCACTTACAGCTGAATAGATTGATCATATGTGTTTAGAGTATCATTTCTTCCACGGTGTGAAAAAGCATTCATACTTTCGATTAAAAAAGTACCATAATAGACTACCTTATTTCAGTGATACTACTGACTTGGTCAATATCTGTTTCATCGTGTACATCGCCAACATCATCCTCGTCTTCGTCTGACTGCGGCGTTTGTGTCGTCATCGTCGCGAGTCTCCGCATTCCTTCTTCCTGGATCATTTTCTGTATTCAGTCGTGAAGTGATGAGATAAATATGACGAGAGATGTTGTTATTAATGATGAAGATGGTGATGATTTTAATATCAATGTGCAAGATGAGGATTATATTAATATTAATGATGGTTATGATGACAATAATGATATTCGACATAATGATGAGAGACAATTAATGATGATGACGATAATGATAATGATGAACATGGTGATCATGATGATGCGACAACGACGATGATGATGATGAATGATGAGAGACAGTTGATGAAGACGACGATGACGACGACGACGACGACGATGATGATGATATGATGATTATTTGATGATGATAATGATGAGAGGATTGATGATGATGATGATGACAACGACGGCGACGACGACGATGATGATGACCCAGAGAGGACACCAATACTTATTAACGAAAGGAGGCGAAAACAAACAGTTGGAGCCAAGAACGTCCAATTCTCGTACGTGTATATAAATACGGACCCAACATTGTTACTAGCCCAGGTTTTCCATATGTGATGGGCCTTCTGAAAAATTACTGGAATATTAATGAGAACGGCAACTTTTCTAACAGGTGTCAGGGTTCACTAGTCTGATATAGGGGGGGGGGGGGGGTTACGAGATATTTTAGTTTGTTTCGGATCACAACCTCTTTTGGCTTTTACTCACCATAACCGCTGGGTAGTCTTTAAGCACGTCAACAATATCACCTTTAGAGAGTGTAAAAAGCTCGGAGAATCCAACAGATTGTACATTGGCCGTTCTCCTATCAATACAAAGATATATATTTAATTTGCCATACTAATGATCAACTATATTGGAACGATTTATGATTTATTTCATATTTCCGGGCCCAACAAAAAAATTATTGAATAAAGATAAAGTTCTTTGATTGTACATGTAGCACCGACGTAGATTCGATGATAGCAATAGGAACACGAAGAATATAATCATAAGAAAGGCGGCGCTTCCAGAGGGGGAGGAAGGGACAAAAGGGGCATAGCTGGTGCCCCTCCACTTTTTCAAGTACCACAATTGTGCCCCATTTCATTTCCAATAGGTGTCAATTTTCCTCCCTTATAAGTGCACCGTTTCCTTTCCAATAAGCGCCCCTTTTCCTCCTCTTATAAGTGTCCCTTTTCACCTTCATCTCTATGAGTGCCCTTTTACTCCCACACGTGCCTCCTTTCCTTGTGCACTTTCTCCCTCTTATAAGTGTTCATTTTATAAGCTCGCCTTTTAATTCGACAAGTGCCCCTTTCCTTTTTTAAATGAGTGCACGTATCCCTTTCTTACAAGCAACCCTTTTTCAAATATGAAAACTTTCATTTGTTACTTTAGATAAGTGTCTGTTTTCCGTTCAAATAATTTCCCTTTGCGTTTACTTATCTCTCCCGAAAACTTAGCCTCCTTCACATGTGCCTTTATCTTAAATTATCGGAGAGCACTTTTTTCCTTAAATTTATTCAAAACTCGCTAGATGCACCTGCTATCATTTATATAATGATGCAACATTAAAGGTCTTATAACTTTCTCTTTACATGATTCATGAATGATTTATGATTTATTACATGATTTTATGTGCTTGAATCACCAACAGGATTTCTTTGGTAACATCTAATCTATGGCATTGTGACTTAACGAAATATATATATTTTTTTTTACTTACCGCTCCTGCAATGGTAAAGCCAAAGTAGTCTAAGAGTTAATCTCGTTTCGTTTCCTCTTTGACTTTTACCTCCACCGTACATGATCTTAAACATGCTTTTCTTACACAAAATGATGATCATAATGTTTTTACCTATGACTATTTTCTTTTAGATTGAGTATGCCGATCTCTCCGAAGTATTCGCCTGATGCCCGAGTAGCCACTACTCGACCTGCGTCACTGGAATTCAAATAAAATGATGGAATGAAATTAATCTTATGATAAATTGATAAAGATATCACACGTCATTCAAATAATATACATTTTTCTCTTGATAACAGTACTGTATAGGACTAAACCAGCATATATACTTTGTTTAACCGTATAGGACTATATAAATGTTTGAATACACGAAATTGATGATTATTTATCTGGCATGTTAGGCCTGTAAGGTAATGATTAAATATTCTATTCGAAGGTGCTTTTACGGTATATTTAAGTTGCATTTAAGGTGCATTGAGGGTGCATCCCATGACCGGGGTAATAATATTGTAAGCGCTTTGGTTGGGTAATTACTGTGTTAATTATAGTGCTTTATACGAAACAGTTACTATTATTAGCAATAGTAGTACTTATTCATGTAGTAATACGTTTTATCCCAGGCAAAGTTTTCCATTTAATACTTTCATTCCTTTTTTTTTCTCCATTTGCAAACGTTTCATACAATAATTATAGGAATGCTAACTTGCAGGTTTACAATAGTTACAATAAATTTCTAAAGAAATATATGATTGTTGATTAAAATTGAGATATTTGCAATTGTCATTTACGTGGAGGTGTCGTGGTATAATGGTTTATTCACTTGACTCCCAATCGAAGTGTTAAGGGTTCGAATCCCAAACCAAGTATACTGATGTCCTTTCACAAGACATTAGTCCTCGTTTTTCACTCTCCACCATACAGGTGTTGAGGTGTAAATAAATGCGTGCCTGACAATCGCTGGGAATAATAACTGCATGGCCCGCGGGAGGATCAATATTGTGGGCTTGGTAAATAAGACTCAATTATTTACTATTCTGTTATTCTACTTTCTAGTATTATTGTAATCATATGTAATCATTTTTAATTTATAGAGCACTTACTCGGTAACCTTGAATTTACCATCCGAAATGAAGAACATCTCTTTAGCAATGGCTCCCATCTTGCATACTTTGTCACCAGGAGTACAGATACAGAACTGCATCCTGAGTACTAAATCATTCAAGATCTCTGGTGGACAAACTTTGAAAAGAGAAACCTGAGATGAAGGAAAAGTGAATTAATTGATATCATATAACTACTTGTACTACTACTACTACTACTACTACTACTACTGTTATTATACTGCTACTAGTAGTACTACTACTACTTCTACTTCTTCTTCTTCGTCTTTCTCCTCCTCTTCTTCTTCTTCCTCTTTTTATTCTTCTTCTTCTACTTCTACTACTACTACTACAATTACTACTACTACTACTACAATTACTACTACTACTACTACTACTACTACTACTACTACTACTACTGCTGCTACTACTACTACTACTAGTAGTACTAGTACTACTTCTCCTTCTTCTTTCTCCCCTTTTTTATTCGTCTTCCTCTTCCTCTTATGCTACCACAGTGCCTCCTTCTCTCCTGAATATCCTTGTAGATACAATGAGGGTCGGTTTCACAAAGGTTTGAGACATAAAGTGCCAAGGTTATTTCATATATATACAGGTACATGTATACTCTTCATATTCATTCATCTATCTATTCAATCGTTTATTCATCAATTCTTTATAAGCAAACCTACTCTTTTAAGTGTCTGAAGATTGACATGAAGTGCGAGTTCTGTACGGTGTGTGTCGGGAAGGAGTCCCAGTGAATTGACGTCACATTGCCCATGCGTGGCCCCTCTATACAACCAAATCATGACGTGAGAAAATGGGGCCAGTTAATAACATGAAAAATATTCTTTTGAAAGGAGGAAACGTTAGTCTCTCATGCATATACATAAACCTTTCGGGTGTAAAAATATAATCGCTCCTTGGAAATTCGTATGCATCATTTTCCCACTGAGAGTACTTTGTATTTGACTAGATTAATGTTTGTAATATAAGTTCAAGTTAGTGTAAATTGTAACTACTTACCGTTAAACTTGATATTCTTTTCATTATCATAGGACTATCGTAAATAATCAGCATTTGTGTGTGTAAAGCGCTTAGAATTTGTAATACACGTTATAAAAGTGTAATTTATTATCATTAGTATTATCACTATTATTGTTATTATCATAATAATTATTAGTAGTAAATAGTAGTAGTAACTATCATTATATTTTATTACTATTATTATTAATGTAATGTAAGGGGTTAGGAAATTACCATGTGACCTGTAGAGGGCGGAGTGCTGAGACAAGCCGGCACTCTTTGCTTGGCCCTCTCACAGGTGAGTTGACCAAACTTGAACCACTGTTATGTTTAGTAAATATTAATATTGTTATGCTAGAGATTTGTTATGTACATATATGTGTATTGTGTCAGAACGATTTCAGTAGTTATTTTGATGTATCATGTGGGTTGATATGATTATATTGGAGACGAGGATTTAATGTTAAACTGTGTGATGCTTAGCGCTTTGATTTGTTATATGCATTTACATTGTAGTACATGGTTATGTACACTAATAAGTTGAACGCGCGGTACCAAAATTGGGTGTAGTGCGTGCGCGCTAATGTTGTGCCTGGTCCCAGAGCCAGGACCAGGACCAGGGTACGCTCTAATTGATGTGATGAGTATAAGTCTTGGTTTAGGAATGAGGTCAGTAAGAACGGTAGGGAGCATAGAAAAGAAGTGCTTATAATAGAAGTTGAGTGTTTAAAAGTATTGCATGTTGTTTGTATTTTGGTTGCTAAGCTAGGGGATATTAATTATGGCACTTCAAACAGTGAAGATCGAACTTTGTCTGACTATGTATTTTAGGGTTTCTAGCGCCCTCTATCATTGTAAACCTTATTTCTCATTTTGCAGATTGCTATAAAAGAATATTGTTATAAATTGAGATGGAATAATAGGAGTAAGAGCAATGTTTAGGGTTAGACCAGGAGATTGTTGGAGTTTGTTTGGAAGCAAGAAAAGTATGGAAGATAAATATTTGAATTGGATTGGTTGATGAAAGTTGTATTTGATGCAGATATAAGGAGATTTATAGTTTCCAGGATTTATCAATGTTTCAGGACTTGGGATATTCTTGTGATATTTAAAAGCAGAGATATTTTGTCTTTGTTCCATTATTAGGTGGTCTGTCGATGACAGATCACCTATTGATTTCGTTAGAATTTTCTTTCTTTATTCTTTATTCTTTATTCTTTATTCTTTCTTTATTTATTAGGTGGTCTGTCGATGACAGATCACCTATTGATTTCGTTAGAATTTTCTTTCTTTATTCTTTATTCTTTATTCTTTCTTTATTTATTTTTATTTATTCCGTACACTTTTTTTGTGTATACGTTTACTCGAACTCGACCTGGTCAATTTCCTTCAAATTTCTGCTAGTCATCAGGCCCTATGATATGAAGTTCCCGAAACCTTTTTCAAGTTCATGGGGTCATCGTGACGTCATCCAGGCGCCATTTTGTAAAAATCAGGTCATTATCATATCTCAATAACGAGTAATCAAAAATAAACCATATTTAGTATACATCAACTTCCGGTCAAAGGTCAACGAAAAATGTCAAAAAAATTTGCGCGCGCACCTCGACGCGCACGTACGCGCGCATTAAAATTTTAAAATGGTCAAATTCGTTCCAAATTAATTTTGCATACGTTTCAGGCCATTTTAAGCATTTTGCAAAAAAACGCGCGCACGGACATGCGCGCGCGTTTTCGCGCATAATTGCATCTTCCAACATAGAATCGCCAAATTTTTTCTGTCATCATATTTGGCACATTTTTTCAAGCATTTTGATACCTTGTTCAACTTTTTCTGCCCATTAATAACGGAATGAGCGTCCGTTTAAGATAATTACCGTGCGTGCGAGCTCTTGTAATACATAACATACATGTGCAAAAACATGCCTATACAAAATTCATTGTAACTCTTCAGGATGGATAGATACCCCCCAATTTCTTTCATATTTAAATAGATTATGAGTTGGAGATATGATTTCATGTTTCATTTGACCCTCAATTAACTCATGACGTCATCATAATGGCCTCCGAACTCAAAATTTCAATTTTCATATTATGACGTCAGCAGATTTTTGGAAAATTGATTGTATCTCTGCAAATATTGATCAATTTTCTTTCAAATTTTGATATGTTCTACCTTAGAATATTCTCTACAAATGCAGTCACCACGATATTTCATTTTGACAAAGGCATCATGGCGTATTTTTGCGATTAAAGGAGGCATGTCAATTTTTCACATTTTGCGTGTATTCTCTATGGGACATGACTTTTTCTCAAAACTGGTTTCTACATTCTCGTCTTTCGCGAGCAATATCTCCGTCGTTTTATCTTTGTTTACGCTGAGCTTTGAGTATGTTGTAGCTGAGACAATAAGCTATCACAAGTGTGCCTTTTATTTTTCGATCAGATGCCGGGATCATGCTCATATTTCACTTACAAAGTGGGATTTGAGAATTACATTTTCCGTTTACGTGTAATCTCTATAGGAAATGTTTTGGTATATCGGCAACGCACTTGACTTCCGACCTCGAGGTCCCTGGTTCGAGTCCGGGCGTCTCCAACAATTTTTTTTCTTCACTTTTTTTTCTTTTTGACCTTTCACTGTACCATCTCCTTTGAATATTAAAACACATACAATCGCAAATAATGTAATAAACAACCATATTTACTTTATTATTACCCTATTATCACTTGATCCATTACTTTTTGCGTGTAATCCTTATGGGAGATGACTTTTTCTCAAATCTGGATTCTACATTCTTGTCTTTTGCGAGCAATATCGCCGTTATTTCGGCTTGATTTTTGTTGATTTTTGAGTATGTTGTAGCTGAGACTATATACTATCTCAATGTTCTCTCATTTTTTTCAGTCTGATGTCATCATGGTCTGTTGATGATAATCATCAACATCATCATGATCATCATCATCATCATATTCGTCATCACAATTACTATCAAGATCATCATCATCATGATCATCATGATGATCATCATTGTTTACATGTCTATATAACTTGAAGGCAGACCACCTTATTCGTCCTCGTGACGAATTAAATTCTAGTTTTTATTTATTCCGTACACTTTTTTTGTGTATACGTTTACTCGAACTCGACCTGGTCAATTTCCTTCAAATTTCTGCTAGTCATCAGGCCCTATGATATGAAGTTCCCGAAACCTTTTTCAAGTTCATGGGGTCATCGTGACGTCATCCAGGCGCCATTTTGTAAAAATCAGGTCAGTATCATATCTCGATAACGAGTCATCAAAAATCAACCATATTTGGTATACATCAACTTCCGGTCAAAGGTCAACGAAAAATGTCAAAAAAATTTGCGCGCGCACCTCGACGCGCACGTACGCGCGCATTAAAATTTTAAAATGGTCAAATTCGTTCCAAATTAATTTTGCATACGTTTCAGGCCATTTTAAGCATTTTGCAAAAAAACGCGCGCACGGACATGCGCGCGCGTTTTCGCGCATAATTGCATCTTCCAACATAGAATCGCCAAATTTTTTCTGTCATCATATTTGGCACATTTTTTCAAGCATTTTGATACCTTGTTCAACTTTTTCTGCCCATTAATAACGGAATGAGCGTCCGTTTAAGATAATTACCGTGCGTGCGAGCTCTTGTAATACATAACATACATGTGCAAAAACATGCCTATACAAAATTCATTGTAACTCTTCAGGATGGATAGATACCCCCCAATTTCTTTCATATTTAAATAGATTATGAGTTGGAGATATGATTTCATGTTTCATTTGACCCTCAATTAACTCATGACGTCATCATAATGGCCTCCGAACTCAAAATTTCAATTTTCATATTATGACGTCAGCAGATTTTTGGAAAATTGATTGTATCTCTGCAAATATTGATCAATTTTCTTTCAAATTTTGATATGTTCTACCTTAGAATATTCTCTACAAATGCAGTCACCACGATATTTCATTTTGACAAAGGCATCATGGCGTATTTTTGCGATTAAAGGAGGCATGTCAATTTTTCACATTTTGCGTGTATTCTCTATGGGACATGACTTTTTCTCAAAACTGGTTTCTACATTCTCGTCTTTCGCGAGCAATATCTCCGTCGTTTTATCTTTGTTTACGCTGAGCTTTGAGTATGTTGTAGCTGAGACAATAAGCTATCACAAGTGTGCCTTTTATTTTTCGATCAGATGCCGGGATCATGCTCATATTTCACTTACAAAGTGGGATTTGAGAATTACATTTTCCGTTTACGTGTAATCTCTATAGGAAATGTTTTGGTATATCGGCAACGCACTTGACTTCCGACCTCGAGGTCCCTGGTTCGAGTCCGGGCGTCTCCAACAATTTTTTTTCTTCACTTTTTTTTCTTTTTGACCTTTCACTGTACCATCTCCTTTGAATATTAAAACACATACAATCGCAAATAATGTAATAAACAACCATATTTACTTTATTATTACCCTATTATCACTTGATCCATTACTTTTTGCGTGTAATCCTTATGGGAGATGACTTTTTCTCAAATCTGGATTCTACATTCTTGTCTTTTGCGAGCAATATCGCCGTTATTTCGGCTTGATTTTTGTTGATTTTTGAGTATGTTGTAGCTGAGACTATATACTATCTCAATGTTCTCTCATTTTTTTCAGTCTGATGTCATCATGGTCTGTTGATGATAATCATCAACATCATCATGATCATCATCATCATCATATTCGTCATCACAATTAC